CTAGCCCTCAACTGAAAGAAAAAGAAATGGTCAACTTCCAAGTGCATCCGGGCTCAATATTAGTTTCAGATGCGCACCAAAAACATGTGTTTCTCTTCCCCCATGAAATCCGTTGCATCTCGACTGCATGGGGCCTTGATTTTTCTTGGTTTTCACTACAAAATCAAGAGAAAATCAATGCCCTTTGCAACCGCCATATTTCAGAATGTATCTGGTCATGGATGCATCTCCCCAAGTGGCCGTTTTTTATCGTTAAGGCTTTTTTTTCCTTTCCTTTCTTTTCTCTTTTCTTTTTTTTTTTTTTTCCTCCATTCTTGGACAGTAGGGACTTGCCAGTCTCTACTTGTGGCAGTCCCTACTGACGGCCAACTCACTCATTCCCCCTCACTCTTTTTGTCTTATTCTCCCACATTTTTTTTTTCTTTTCTTTCTTTTCCTAGCATGCCAAGTGTCAAGTGGTCATTAAGGCCCTTTTCTAGGCCCTTCCTCTTAGTTTTGACCCTCCCTATGCCCATGATGCAGTCCGTTATATCTCGAACTGCATTAATGGCTCCCTTATGCCCATGAGAGTTTCCTTTTACCTCTATTTTTCTCACCCCGTAGCCCCTCCTACTTCGATTTTCTCCCGGAAGCCTATTTTTCACATGGAATCTTTTTTGCCTCCATTTTCTTGAAGGAGGCTGATCCGAGATTTTTCGGATTGCTCCCATGCCTCCCACTTCATGTTTCTTTACTTTTTCTTTTCCTTTTTGACCTTCCCGTTTGTTACCACTAGTGCTTGCTCAAGTAGTGCTAATATTTTTGGCCGTCAAGATCTCGATCCTGACGGTGCGTCTTGTTTTAATTGTTTTCTCCTCATGCCGCTCCGCCGTTTCTCTTGGGACCTTCTCATGCCCCAGCCACTTGTCCCGCCGGTGGTCCCCGACACTTTGCTCCGCCGGTGGTCCTCGACACTTTGTCCCGCCGGTGGTCCCCGACACTTTGTTCCGCCGGTGGTCCCCGACACTTTGTTCCGCCGGTGGTCCTCGACATTTTGTCCCGACTAACATTATTTTTGCTTAGTCTCACGTGGTCCCTGGTGCCTTTCCTCAAGAAGGCCCATGTTCTTTTGGCGTCTACCGCCCTACGGTGGCCTCTTTACCTTGCCTTTATCGGGCCTTGTGTGCGCCGGTTTCTCCGACCGCGGGGCCTCCAATCCGTGGTTTCCGTTAATTGTTATAGGCGGCCCCCATGTTGGGCCCTTATCTTCTAGCGTCTCGGGGCCACCAGGTCGTCCACCTCTCGGCTCCCTTATTCTCTTGTCATCCGTCGCGCCGCACTTGCTAAGTTAGTTGACCCTCGGGTCCTTGTCATGCCGAATTTAGATGGCCGTCCGGCCCCATGCTACGTTCCTAAGTGCCCATGTCCCATCCCTTACTTACTTGTCGTTGCCGGTTCTTTCTCTTTGCGGTACTCAGCCCAGAGCGCCACTCCTCCTGGTAATCTCGTCCTAGTTCTTTGTATTTTCTCTCTCTTGCCTCCTTACTCCAGATTTCTCTGTCGTGCACAACTTGGCTATATACAGGCTCTCGAGTGTCGGGATGTTATTCGGGACCCACAGGTCCTGACACATTCCCCCCACTCATTCACGATGTCCTCATCGCGCACCAGCCTTCTGTTAGTAGGAGGGTCTGGAGGGATAGAAGGAGGGGGCGGAGGGTCCGGAGGGGGTAGGGTATGAGGGGTAATTAGTTTGCTAGGGTCCTTTTTGTCTTTCCTTGTTCCTTTCTCGGGGTATCTTTGTGCGGAGGGTCAAGTTCTTTTTTCAGGGTTTCCTTCAGGCTCCTCCTATCACATTCATCACCCTTAGAATATCAAACCTTCTTTTGTCACATTTCGTCTCATTCATCACCCGTAGTACATCAAGCCTTCTTTCAACTTCCCTTTTCTCATTCATCACCTGTAGTACATCAAGCCTTTTTTCAACTTCTCTTTAAATTCTCATTCATCACCCGTAGTACATCAAACCTTCTTTCAACTTCCCTTTTCTCATTCATCACTCTTAGAACATTAAACCTTCTCTCGTTTCATTTTTCAGCCCACGCTCCTCCTTCGAGCCTAGTTATCCCAACGTCTTCGAATGATTTGCCCCCCATCCCATGATGACCAAGTCCCTTTTCCAGCCTCTGTCACCCTCAGTGCCTCTTTTGATCAGCTCTTCGGCCCGTGCAATCCATGTCTCCTGCCATCCTTTCCTCAATCTCGTGCTCAACCATATTTACATGCATTTCTTCCAGATCATTTCGCCAAACTTTTCACTAGCTCTATCTATTTCACATGCATATCTTCTTTGCCAGACCTTTTCTACGCCCAAGCCCAATCAATTTCACATGCATCTTTCTTTTGAACATCTTGCCAGACCTTTCTCAAGCCCACACAAAGTCAATTTTACATGCATCTCTCTTCTGGACATCTTGCCAGGTTTTTTTCAAGCCCAAGCAAGTCAATTACACATGCCTTTCTCTTCTGGACACCTTTCCAGGCTTTTCTCAAGCCCAAGCAAAGTCAATTACACATGCCTTTCTCTTCTGGACATCTCACCAAACCTTTCTCAAGCCCAAGCAAAGTCAATTACACATGCCTTTCTCTTCTGGACATCTTGCCAGACCTTTCTCAAGCCCAAGCAAAGTCAATTACACA